GGAGTATACCAACGCTGGTGCTATATTTGTCTTTGGTGAGAAATACACAGACCACCTCTTCGCATTTAAGGTAAAGCCAAACTCCTTTTATATAAAGTCACTTTCTTTTCAGTAACTTCTCAGTCTCAGTAACTGACCAGAAACCAGGTATATGCCTGTCAGGCACGTCATAGGGACATTACACATTCCCGCTCTTTTTCATTTACAATTATATCTTAAGTCAGTGGACGACAAATATTTTATTTTGTTACTTTGCCATTAAGGGAACCATCTAGAGGAAGTCAGAAATATTCAAATCCTTTTGGGGGGAGCTTGTAGCATTGCTTAGGAAAATCATATGGGGTAATAATATCTGAGATTTCAAAGAAAAGATTTTGTTGTTATTTTATTTTAAAGATAGGAAATGGTTGAGGGGGAAAGAACGGTAGGCATATGGCCACTAATGGCTTCCAGATCCAAGATTGGTGACAGCTCTGCACTCAGGGAACTCCTCAGTCCCAGGCAAACCAGGACAGCTGGTCACCCACATCAAAACTCTGTTCTTCCAGAGCCACCCCCATGCTAAATCTTTCCCATCTTTCCTTCAGTGCAGCCTTTGCCTAGGCAGGCATAGAAGCTGGGCCTTCTCTCAACCTAAGGAGGGATGTTATTCTACTGGAGAAAGGCAACCTGGCCCCATGCCCAGGCCTAATAAGTTCCTTCCTGAAGCTCCCACAAGCCCCAGGAAGCTCACCTTCCTCTGGGAAATCCCTATAAATACCTGTTGATGAGTCAAAAAGATGCATGTGGCTTTTTTTTCCAGCTGTCTTTTTTCGTGGTGTGTTATTGTTCCTACACTTCTAAATTATTTGCTCACTTAGGGACTCCAAATTTACTTCCAAATTACCTCAGCTTCAGTTAGGCCAACTGTTAATGGTGAATCTTTTTAAAAACTGCAGATATTTTTGAACTGTTGATTTGATGCTTTGGTGCTGATAGCTATGCCTTCTCTGAAAGATCAAATTTTTATAAATTGAGATTGAAATACGCTCATATCATGACTGCTTCAGAACTGGAAAAAATAAAGCCACAAGGAAGGAGTAAATTGCTGCCCAGACTGTCCAAGTGTCTTCAGACCTTGTCCCCCACCGAGGAGCCACCTCCATCATTTTGCCCACAGAAAAATCCCTGTGGGAACATGGGAGAGTTGAGCCCCTCTAGCTTTCTGAAGATTTCAGGAAGGCTCTGTCTGCCCTTTCAAGCCAATAAAAGCAGATAAGTGAGTGAGCTGTCAATAATGGCACAGAATGTCCTTTAATATATTATTAATAGATTTTTCTAAATTAGATCTTCTCCTTGGTCATTCTGTGCCTCTGCTGGCAGCTTGTCCCTAGTCATTTAGCTGGAGAACAGAGGGGAAGGGGTGCGGAGGGGTAGAAGTGCAGAGGGATGCGGACTGCAGCTCTGTGTAACCTCTGCAGGGTAGAAACTGCTCCTCGTAGACACAGGCTGCACGGAAGGCACCGAAAGGCCTTCAGGAAAATAGGATCTAGAAAAACACCATTTTGTGAAAGCAGAGGTAAACTAGTTTCCTGAGTCTGATCATTTTAGTGATTCAACATTCTATAAGTAAAATAATTATCACTTTAAAAACTAAGCAAATGAGTGTTTACTCTATGGGAGGCACTGTGTATAAGCACCTACCATCTGTATATGATCTGTATAGACACTATGAATAAGAATTTGAGTTCACGCACATTTCATCTCCACCTAGGTCACTCTGCTAATGAGTGGTGATGCCCATGTCTGTTTCATATAAGAACAAGCATATCTGCCGGTAGCCTTCAGTTTGCTCATCCAGTTATTACAAATTCCCCCAAAACTTCATCCCTTCTCTGAGGAACTAAAGTAAGGAAAGCTCATCGTAGCACGGAAAGAAAAAAAAAATGTCATTCCTATGAAATATGCTATCCAGAACAAAATAGAATGAGAATGGAAATGGGGAAGCTTCCCAGTAAAAGTATTGTTTAGTTCAAGTGAAGTTTCCAGTATTTTTATGATGTCTCAGAGGGAGAAAAGGAGGCAGAAAGGAGACTGATCTGAAACCTACTAATGCTGCTGAGACCAACCGTTAACCTGCGATCACTGTCATGCCCACCCCGCCCCCAGGTCCTGCCGATCGTGGTTTTCTTCAGCACTGTCACGTCCATGCTCTACTACCTTGGATTGATGCAATGGATCATTAGAAAGGTACCAGAACTGGAAGGGATTGGGTGACAGATGTAGAGCTGATTATTTCAAGGACAAAGTTTTAAAAGCCTTTTATTGAGATTTTTCCAAAGTACTTTTCTCTTTGTACCAAGATCCACCACTACCACCCAAGTCATTAGACTGAAACCTCCAAAATCCTACATGTGTCCACAGAGGGATTTTTTTTTTTTATCTCAGGGACATCTAACAGGGCTTTGACTTGCAACCCACTGGATATCTTAAAGAAACCTTACCAATCACTTCTTTAGCTGAAGACTTGACTCCAACAGGTCAGACACCTGCCAGGGAAAGCAGCTGTCCACCTGATGCCTAACACAGAGTCACTGCTTAACCTCAGAGGTCACAAAAGTGGGTACTCCTGGTCTAGGAGTTGCTAGAGGATCAAAGCAGGAAGAGAAAAAGGGGAAGCTGCTTTTCATTCCTGGGGGAGTTTTATGGGCATACAAATCTAAAAAAGAAAAAAGGTCTGAAAA